AAAATAAAGAAGGGAGCCGGGCATGGTGGTGCACGCTTGTAGTCCCAGCACTTGGGAGGCAGAGGCAGGCGGATCTCTGTGAGTTCAAGGCCAGCCTGATCTACATAGTGAGTTCCAGAACAGCTGGGGCTACAGGGAGACCCTGTCTCAAAAAGACCATAAAAAAGGGGGGGGGCTGCCTTTTGAGAAAAACAACTAGGTCAGCCTGACATTTTCCCTCTGTGAGGAGGCCAGGTAATTCTGTATGGATCAAGTAAAAACAATGAGTTTGTCTATGAAGGAGGTTTTGAATAGAAGTAAACTGTTAAGAAATCTGAGGTATAAGCCAGGGTGGCTTGAAACAGTATGGGATGACTTAAGCCATGTAGTGAGAGTAGTTAGTAAATTGAAAGAAAGGTTATTAGGAATTGTTTGAAAGAAGAAAGGGCAACTTAAAGTCCTGCCCACTGGGTAGTAGTTGCCTCAAGAGTTACAAGAGTGCTGTATTCCCGCATCATCAAACCATGTAACGGTTCCTTTGCCTGATTTGTTGGTTCCATCTGAAAAAAAAAAAAAGTTGTTAGTGCATTAGGAATGGGAGTATGTACTTATGAGAGAAAAGATTTGAATAGGAAGTAATGGAATTCCACATAAAGTCTTTACAGGAGGGAGGTAAAAGGAAACATCCCCCCAAACTAACAAAAGTTACCTGCCATTCTTCTGAGGTTTGTAAATGAAAGTTGAAATTATCTTGAAATATGAAAGCATAAATAATATCAGGATCTCCAGGCATGGTGGCACATGCCTGTAGTACTAGCACTTGGGAGGCAAGAGGCAGGCAGATCTTTGTGAGTTCAAGGCCAACGTGGTCTACATAGCGAGTTCTAGGCCAGCTGGGGCTACAGGGAGACCCTGTCTCAAAAAGACCAAATAATAATCAGGATCTTGTCTGGTAGGTTGGATGGTTCCAGTCTAGCCCTCTTGAATAAGAATATTCTTTGTTGGCTTTTTGAGTTAAAATTTTTATTGTTTAGATGTATTTGGGAAGAAATAACTATTCTAAAATTACTAAAGAGGGAGTTAACTGACCAATGACTGCTGTAAAGGGAAGGGGAGTATTAAAAGCAAATAAACAGAGAGGTTTACAATGTAAGAAGAGTTAAAAGTGTGAGATGAATTTAAGCCAGTGTCTCCTTGAAGAGAGTCAAAAAGGTGAGAGAAAGCC